TGCATCAGAGTAACCAAAGGCCCTCGTGTCGTCATACAAGGAGTCAGGAAAAAGGGGTTGTACTCTCTTATCGGAAGAACCGTGATTGCTAAGTCCACGTACTGTTTGGACCTAGCAGACTCAAACAAGGGCTGAGGGCCTCTCAGGGGCCAGGTGGAGGGAATCTTTACTTCAAAGCTTCTCAATTGAGGGTCAAGGTGGAGAATTGTTATTTTGACCCCCAATTAATGAACTAAAGTAAAAGGGCACTTTTGTAATGTGGTACCGCTCACCTACCACATCTCACCTACCGTTCACGTACCGCTCACCTACCGCTCACCTACCTCCCACCTACCACTCTCTTGCTTCTATAAATAGAGAGGGTGTGAGACTTAGGAGAGCAAAGGGAAGAAATCTTAAGGGTGTGAGGCTTAGGAGAGCAAGGGAGAAGATATCTTGAGCTACCACAAAAAGGAGGAGAGAATAACTATAGAGTTAGAGAGGAGGTCATAGAAGGAAGATGAGGACTCATCTCTATGTATATGCTATGTATTCTCCATTTCTTTTGTCTTAGTGAACTATTTGATTGATTCCCTTCCGTGGACGTGGATCCAGTTGGATCGAACCACGTAAACGATCTGTGTTTGCTTGTGTTCTTTTTCGTCTCATTTCTATGCCAGGAAGTACATATCTCACAACATGTTTCTTGGTTTTAGCATCTAGTATAATGATCTTATAATTGAGACATCAATATTTACCTGTGCGTGTTTTGTCCGCAACACCATGATTCTGATGACATCCATGAATTAAATAATTTTACTATTACATATGAATAAATCTACTAAATATACTTAGCAGGGTAAATATAACTAGAAAAAAATATGCTTAGCCACCTCCTCTTCTTCATAATCATCCATAACTCTACCAAAGTATCCTAGAAAGTCAAATTTGGTAATTGTGATCAGGTAAGAGCAGGACATAAGTTCATTTATTTCCTGGAAAAATCAATCATTCACATCAAAACATGTACTGACACCGTTTTTTAATTTTTAAAAAAAATTTGAGAGTCAAACATGCTAAGCAAAAGCGGAAAGAAGCAGCTTAACAACCAAGTATTAAAATAAAGAAATTAATCATGAGGAATAGACAAACCATTGGCAGTGTAGGTTTTTGAATTGCTTGACTTATACTTTGAATGGAAAAAACAAGCAATCTGCATATTGTGAAACACAAAGGCAACAGCAAGTATCAGTTAAACATAAACAAGCCAAGATATTTAAACTTCTATTCTTCATTGTTCAACATAATAGAAATTTTAAGCTTTTATTTAGCGATAAATGATCAAACTACTATTAGAAATTCTAATAAAGTAATTAGAAATTGAGAGAAAAAAACCAAACAGCCAAGACTTGATGAAATCTCATTTTGAGGTTCTTGTAAATGTAGCTGTAAAATCACTGTAGAAAAAAAAGATCATCTAAAAACAGTTGTGGATAATATAACTTTCTTATAGCTACTCTAATAAATTTGGCTGTTAAAAACAACTTGTCATCCTAGACATTTAGCTATGGCTAAACAGATGTTTGAAAATAGTCTAAAATATAAGCTATAAGGAAAACTTCCCAACTGACCCTAAATCACACAAAAGGCTCACCTTTGTAAAAGTTCTTTAAAATTGTTACAGAAAATATAATTTTTCAAAAGTTATTGTGGTGTTATAAATTTTTTTCCCTTCTAAGTCCGACGATAGATTTCTCATAGCTAACACATTCTTACGTAGCGGATTGTAAGAAGCTATTTCTTCCTGAAACAATTTCAAAAAGGTTGTAATTAAGCAAATGTTAAAGAAAAAGCTACCGGAAGAAACCCTTACCGAGAAGCACTTTGCCGATGGAACCCAAAGGTTCGAGCTTCCGGTGTCAAATATCACTGTAAACTTCTGCGGTGGCGTACCGATGCTGATCTCTCCATAATACTGCGCATTCAAGTAATTCTTCAATGCTACAATATCCTCATCCGACCCGTCCAAAACCCCACCATTAACAAGTCTCCCGGGCCTCGCCTCTTCACTATTAGCACGCCTTGCTGGAACCTGTCTGCTCTCATACAACGGTCTCTTCTTCAGCGCAATCCTAGGCAGTCCTTCCGCCGAAGCCGGAAGAACAGGAGGAAGAAAAGCAACCATTAAAAGAAGAAATACCGAAGGTATCCCACGCGCATTCCCCATGAAAAACTAGGGATTCAAAATCAAACCTCTGCGAAAAGCCAAGAAAAAAGCGTATCAATAATCAAAGCAAAAATCTAACGCAATGAGCTAGAACCCTATATTGGGCTGAAAGTTTCATTCCGCTCACCAATGGAAGAAATCACGAATTGCTCGAAAAAGACAATGCACCAATCTGTAGTAGAGAAGAAAGCTGGCGATCACCATTCCAGATTGGCCACATTATTTAAGTCCCGTCGATGGCGACATGGGATCGTCTGCGTTGGAAACGTCCGTTATATTTTGAATGATCAACGTGTGCATTACGGTTAGCTTACCGCCAGTCAGGACAATCGTTTGTGGGTGGCCAAAGGAAAGTTTGTTCATGTTTAAAATGAGACGTGCAAGAATCCCCCCAAAGGAACCATAAATAAATTGATTTTAGTTAAAATCAGATAAAATTAAATCAATCAATTAGTTTTATATTAAAATAAAGAAATACTTTTGAATTCCTGTCTTTTCTCTCTTTCACATTTCAAGAAAATAATAATTTTTTGAGAAAAAAATGAGAGTCCATCTATATTTAATGAAAATCAAGTATAAGAAAAACTCTCAAACATAGTATAAAGAATAACTCTATTCTTATATCTATAAGAAAAGACAAATTTGACAACAAAAGAAGAAAAATGGAAATTACAACATTGATGCTATCATAAAAACAAAGCTACTGAATATTATCATACCTAGAGCCCCTTCTAAAATAGCAAAAATAGATGTTGTGAGTTATGTTTGAGATTGCACTTCCAGCCAGAGAAACTACCACCGAAGCATAACATCGTTAACCAAAATCAAAATAATATTCTTATAATGGTTAGATAAAGCACCCAAACAACCTGAAAAGAGCAGAAGGAAAACCTTTCTTTCAAAAACATGAGAATCAAATACTACGAACAGTATCAATCAAATACTACGAACAGTATCAAAGAAATCAACATGAATTAAACACCACAATATCAATCAGAAACAATCTTAGCACTATCCAAAAAAAATATCAACTTAGCAGATAAAATTTTAAAGAGCTCATAAACATGTTTGTCAAAATCATGATAATCTCATCCAATAAAAAGAAATTGCATTTCAAAGATGTGTGAATTATCATGCATCTCTAAGCAACATTATTGCTCAAATCAAGTGTAGTCACTGAAAAAAAAAACTTCCAACTAAGACTTTGTACCCTAGCCAACAACAAATCAATAGCCAATATCCAAGCCATAAATAATGACATCGATCTTTAATTCAAACCAGTAAATAGGAACTAATAACCTAAAAACAAAAATAAAGCCAACAAAACTTCAAATATCAAATGATCTTGAAAAACATTTAAATGGGGCTAAGAGTAATTATCTCAAGCTTTCATCTCCTACTTTTTTAGATTACTGGCCTATTAATGTTCTGAATTAAAACTTCAAGAAGAGAATAAGAGTTATTGAAAATCTTATTATTCCTCCCATTCCACATGTGAAAAGCAGTTAGCTTGGTAAGCAATTAAATATAATATTTTTTTTTTTTTTGTGAATTTTACAAGAAATAGAATCATCATCAAACAAGAAAAGAAAAACATTATTATCCGTTAAAAAAAATGATCACCTAAAATAGAGGTTTTAAGAAGGAACTATGAAAAAGGAAAATAAAAAAATAGGATGGGATTCTATACTTTGAGAGCAGAGAGCATGAATAACATTAATTATAATCCCTATAGAGATTAGAATGTCATAAGTTCTTAACCCTTACACTAAATTTTCAAGTATGTAAAGTAAGTTTAATATAAAATCCTTTAAACTAAACAAACTTATATCACCCACAACCAGAAAAACCAAGAAAAATAAGTAGTCAAAAGAAGTCGTATGAGAGTAGTGACTAATTCTTCTCCAACAACAACAAACAAAGCTATCAACAATAAGAGTAATCAAAATTAATTTAATATAAATATTAGTCATTGATTGGAAATAATGTCAAAAACTTCATGTTCTCAAGGAAAACGAGCCATATAAAGATAAGTTCACCATACATTTAAGGCTAAGAAACACCACTCAGCCACGGGTCAAAATAAAAATGCAGATTACTCTATTTAGTAACTTGAAAGGTCACACGTCCTCTCATTCTTGCTACCACCTTCATAATATCATTCCAAAAAAAGGAAGTTCCATCTCTATCCTTATGCCACATAGTCATAATGTGAATCACACAAATTAGTTAACTGTGACTCTGAATTAAAGTGCCTCCAAATTTGCTTGGATTTACATAATACATAAATAGTGTCCAATAAAGGAATACCAAGCCTGCTTTAAACTTAGGTAATGTAAAAGTGTGTCAATCAATAGTATGAAACTTCATTTCTATCCCATAATGTTGAATAAAATTGTTGATAACAGAAGGAATATAGTTTTGAATACCTTTACGAAGAGTAATGGAATGACACCAATAATTGAGATAACTCCATATTGTGGATTTAACTAATTAAAATATACTAGCAATAAACAGAATTTTTTTTTTTCAACTGACATGCCAAGAATGAAGCTTATCAACAAGTTCATGACAATCAATAGCAAAATAACTCAGAGGGCTTTATAATAACTCTCAAATATTCCTAAAACAAGGGTTTTAATGCAATATAGATTTCTTCACCAATTTCATTTTGCAAAGATAAATCACTAATTTAGACAATTAAATAGTAGATTAATTTAAATTAACCTCAAGGTTGGTAGCTTAACTAAAAATGCTCAAGATTACTCTTTAAAGGGTAATGATATTACTCTCAACTTTACCAAAAAATATAAGATCAAATGTATATATAAGATGTTGAAAATCTCATAACCGTGAAGCTTATTATGCATAATAACATCAGTTATTTTAAAATAAACCATAGAAAATAAAGCATTCATGATAATAATGAAAACATGGAGAGATAAAGGACAACTCTGTCTTAATCCAAAATAAGAAGGGAAGTTGCATTAAAGTTCATCATTTACAAGAACGAAAAACCTCACCTCATTTGTACAAGTAGCAATTCACTAAATAAAATGAGATGAAAAAATAAACCATGCAATTTTATAGAAAATGAACAATTAACTTTATGAAAGGCCTTCTTAAAGTCAATTTTGGCATAAAATCTTTTGGAAAATATTTTATAATTGAAACGTTTAATTAATTAATTGGCTAAAATGATATTTTCAACAATTATTTATTCTTGATCTAGGCATCTTGAGTAGAATTTATGATTTTAAGAAGAACAATTTTAAGATGATTGGTAAGAGGCTTAGAAATAACCTTGTAAACTATGTTACAAAGTGATATCAGACTATCACCAAGAGACTTATTACCCACATTCTTAGGAATAATAGTCATTATTGAATGTTTCAGCTTATTAGAAAACTTGGCCAATTTAAGAAAATATTGAATGATGTTTATGCAAGCTTTTCCCACAGTAGATAAAGAGTCCTTCAAAAATTTGAATTGAAACCATCTGGGTCAAGAGATTTATTAGAACCAATTGAGAAAAAACACATTTAATATCATATTATTCAAAATATTGATCATAATATCACAATCAACCAAATTATTGATAAGAAAATAACCAACAAAATTCAACCAGCTCTCACAATGATAATTAAGTAAAGTAGAATAATAGGAGATGATGTCAATTGCAGCATTCTCTTGTCTATGAATATAATTCTCATTTACAAGCAATTTTTTAGAAAAAAACTATAATTATTCTTAATTGTAGTCCTTTGGTAAAGAAATTTAAAATCATCTTTATTTTTTAAGCCAACTACATTTGTCTCTTTGTTTTAGCCATTTATATTCACAAAGAATAACCATAGAAAGATCATTTTGAAAGAGATAAGCCTGCATTAGAATATCTTTATAATTGAGAGAATGTTAACGTACACCTTAAGATGATCTTCCATCATCTGACGCGAATCTCGATGCATGACATAGATCCAGAAATTTGTTAGTAAGAAGCTTTTAAAATTTGATTAAAATTCATCCAGAAATTTGATTTCAACAAACTTATAATCAAATTGACTAGCATGATGAGACAGACCCATTGGTATTGAAATCAATCAAATTTAAGTCAAATCAAGCTCAGATCAAGCTGTTAAATCAATTTTGAAAGTTTTTCAGTCATAATTAGAAGGTTAAACTGATTCTAAATATAAAATTCTTATAATCAAATCTACGACTCATGTGACTAACTGCGACCTATATGGCTCACATCTCCTACAATTTCATACTATGACATTTATGACCAACCAATGCTCATGAAGCAACCATTTGCGGCTCATATGATCAACTACTACCAGGACTTTCAACTAATGCTTATATGAAAATCTTGTACTACAACCACTATCAACAACAGTCATCTGGACTACTACCTCCATAACAATCAACTATGGCTCTTGCAACCTACTAGGGTTGTAAACCAGTCGAGCTTGAGCATCTTAGGGTCGGCTCCTTCGATATTGGCTCATGTTCGAAATCTGCTTGTGTGAAATGGCTTGTGAACAATGTGTTCGTGTTCGACTCGAATAATATTTTTCTGTTCGTGTTCAACTCATGTTTGACTCGAAATTGGAGAAGGAGATGAGTCGAAAGAGAAAGAGAGCCCTAAGCTCTTGGAAGATGACTCGGAAGAGGAAGAAGAAGACGACACAAAAAACAAATTGTAAACTCTCGCTGTCGAAACCCTTTTGCGATTTTGAGAGGAGAAGGAGATGACTCAGGCAAGGAAGATAACCGAAATAGAATTTTTGAAAGCAGATGATCACAAACCCTAAGCTCTCACCGCCGAAAGCCTTTAGCGATTTTGAGAGGCGAAGGAGATGGCTCGGAAGAGGAAGAGAGTCGAAACAGATGTCTCGAGAGCAGAGGCTGGACATGATTAGGGATTCAGGGTTTCTTTAGTAATAGAGTTATATATATTATATTATAATATTTATATAAACTATATAATATAAGTAAAAATAATATATTATAATTATTAATTTATTATATATTATAATTTATAGGATTTATTTTTTTAAAATATAATATTTTTTAGTAAATTTTGATTGATTATAATTTATAATATTTAATTCTAAGAATATTTATTATGTATATATATATTTATTTATTTATTTATTTTCGAGCCAATTCGAGCCAAACACGAACGGACAAATTTTTTTTCGTGTTCGACTCGTTTACATTTCAAGCTTAAAAACTTATTAGTGTTCGG